TTTAGGGTTCGGGATTTGGGGTTTAGGGCTTCGAACTCGCAATATGGGGGTTTCCGAAAATAGGGGGCCCTACTATGGTACCCTAAATAATAGGATTCTTATTATAAGGACCCCAAAATAAGGTACCCTAATTATCGGAAACTCCCATATGGGTTCAGGTTTGAGGGGCCAGGCTACATGGGCTCCTTTGACAAGATACGCTTTTCATCTTCGAAACCCGGAAGTGGGCCACGGGCCAAGAACTCCGAACAAAGTCCCGGCACACAAACAACAAACCGCCGGCCCCACAGGCGACAAAACGCAACCTGGGCATACACCCTAAAGCCAAAACCCTAAAACCTAAATCCCAAACCCCAAAATCCTAAAACCCTAAACTCTAAAGTGCACTACACCCATATCGCCGCCGAGCATCTTCTTAGCTTCGCGGCGACTTTGCTGCCCGAAGTGGTGACCTGCCAGGACGACAGGAGACCACGTCATGCAGGGGCCTTATTTTTAGAGTAGCGTGTGGGGTTTACGGTTTAGGGTTTAGGGTTTAGGGGCCTTATATTTTAGAGTAGGGTATTGGGTTCCTGTATAATGTAAACACAAATATAATAAGGAACCCAAGGAGTAACAGAGTAATATGGGTAATTATTTCTCTGATGAAAGTGTCGTTATTCTTCGTCTCACACACGGTGCTGTCATCATGTTTGTACAGCTGGTGTTAGCCATCTCTGCCTAGGCCCGATCTCAGAAAGTCAATTGTACACTTGTACACCGCAAGCCAAGCCATCCAGGCCACACTCAAGCAACAGATGCCAAGATGGCTTCACACACCGAACATGGCCAAAGCACCCTCGAAAATACCTCTCTCAAGCCCGACGCACCTTCCCATGAAAGCCCCGGAAGCACAGACTTGCCAGCGAAAAGCAGGCAAGCAAACACCAGCGGCAGCCTGAACCCAAACCCCTGAGCCCCCAATAAACCTCGAAACCCTAAACCCTAAACCCGAAACCCTAAACCCTAAGCCCTAAACCCGAAACTCTAAACCCAAAGCCCTAAACCCGAAACCCTAAACCCTAAGCCCTAAACCCGAAACCCTAAACCCGAAGCCCCAAATCCCAAACCC